TGATTTTGCAAGCGCTGAGAAGAAGGATTCATTGCAGGGCAGTTGTACAGCATAGCATCCCACTGAGGTTTGCAAGGATCAAGTGGGTGCACTGTGCATTTTGTTACAGAATCATGGCCTTAGCAATCAGAAGCACCTCGTGCTTGAAGCTCCTAAGTATTGGTTTTCAGGTTTACAGTACAATATATGTTGAAATGATTGTATTCTCATAAATGCCAGTACTTAGTTATTTATTCATTACTTCAGAAACTGAGGGTGTGCAAAGGAAGTCAGGTCATTTGCTCACTGTTAAACTTTTTGTCTTGCTATATGCTTAAGTATTCAGGGATTTCTGTGTATGTACTACAGTAATGTGTTTTGGCTCAGTGTTTGACTAGAATCTGAGCCATTCATACACTAATTGAACAGAACCTCCAATCAAAGGTTCTTTCCTAATGAGTACATCTGAGTAGCCTCTGGTACTGTTGAGTGGGAGTAGTGTGTATATGCACACACCTGTGAATTTGATTTTAAGTATCCTATGGTGAGGGGATATGAGCTTGGAAATAATACTACTGAATACACAGATGCAAGTGAAAGTGATCATAAAAGTCATGCAAAAATGCAGCACTTTCAGATTAGTTACAGCTCTGTGCCCTACTATCCCGGACACAACTGTGCCTCAGTACCTGATACTGTGTTGGGGGAGAGACTGGAAGCTTGGGCACGTCAGGGGTGCAGCACAGATCATTTAGATCAGAAGAGAAGTGACAGTGTGTGTGCAGATCTGGAAGCAGATCTGAGGTCTTGGTGTTCATATTGCTCACATAAAATCCTGAAGGATGCTAAAAATATTTGCAATAAGCCTTTGAGAGCTGTTCTCTGGCTTGGGTCAGCTCCTCAGTTTCCTGCTCTAAGATTGCAGCACTCTAATGTATTAGGTCTTTGTATAATCACAGTTAAGATTTCATGTAACCTAGTGTAAGCCTCCTTGAATTATTCCAGGATAATTCCAGTAATCTGCAGTTGCATATACCTGTACTATAACCAGAAAGTTTACAGACCTTAGAAGCTTTGTATAATGTTGATGAATGATCCAGTAAGGTAAGTCAAGGGACAATTACTGGATTTAAATGGGAAACAGCTCTTGTTTGTTTTTAAATAAAATTTATGTATATCTGTTTAATTGAGGGGTTTTTTTTCACCTTTATTTTTGTGACAGTACTGATCACAGGTTAGAGTAAATTATGTATGTTTAAGTGAAAATGTAACTTTTACTGCACCATATATTTGCAGGTAGCATATATTGAATTTCCTTGACAAAAGCTGTATTTATGAATAAGATGCAAGTATGTGAAGTAACTTTCACCATTAATAAAAGTGTGACAATATCATGCTAGTGATGTACCTTGTCCTAAGAACTGCCAGTGTGAATCAGAACCAAAGATGTTTCTAGCCTTGTGTCCTCCCTCCAGCAGTGGCCACCAAGGGATGGTGCAAAACACAGAAAAGATAAAGTGATCCCAATTTTCTCCAGGAATTTTTCTGTTTTTCAACTCACAGTTTCTTTCAGCCTCTGCAATCCCTTGTGGCTGTGAGTTCCATGTTTAATAATGTTTTGTGTGGAGAAAGTGCTCTCTTGTTTGTCTCAGATGTGTTTATTCAGGAATTGCTAGTGCATTTGAACACAGTACTGAAAGTACTGTAAGATGAACAGTAATCCACTTCAAGACACGTGTTAAATGTCGTGGGAGATTCTAATGACAAAATACCTGCTTAGGCAGAAAGTGTCCCATGTTTCTTCTGTCCTTAGGCAGAAACTTGTCCTAAGTTGGTGACAGTATTACCTTACTTGTCCCTCCTGAATAAATTTTTACACATAAATCCTTTTAGATGAAGTGTTAAAAGTCAGATTCTAACTGCAGAACAGGCTTGTTCTTTTGTTTGTTTATTTCTTATTGGTGTAAAAGAAAAATCAGTCAAAGGGAAAATATATTCCTAGCCCACATCTAAGTGAAGTGCCTCTGGATATGGAGACATCAGCATCAATGAGTCTTAACGTTGTGGTCATAGAGAAGATGGAAATACTGCCTGGGCTTAGCTGAGAACCATACTCATCATTCCACATGTTGGTAATTTGTTTTGATATGTATCCCCAGTTCCAACTGGCATTGGAGTAACTGCTCAAAAGGTATTTTTGATGGCCATCAGCCTGAAAATGAAGGATGGGTCAAAAAGGCCTACACATGG